AACGATTTGTCCAAGGTCACACAGGTTGTAGGAGAGGTGGGATTTGAGTCGAGGTCTTTGTACTATACAACACAGCTTCCCTAAGAAATGTTTTTGGTCAATTTTCCCTTACATTGAGCTGAAACCTGCCTTTTGTCAATTTTAGCCCCCTGCTCTTAGTCAACAAGCATTTATAAGGCCTACCATGTGTCAGGTACTGTGCTGAGCACTGGGAATACAAAAGGAGGCAAAAGACAGCCCCTGTCCTCAAGGAGATCAAAGTCTAAAGAGGAAGAAGATACAGGCGAGATAAGCTGGAGATAACTGACAGAGGGAAGGATTAGGAAAGGCTTCCCACAGAAGATGGGGGAAGGCCAGGCAGGCCAAGAGGCAGAGATGAAGATGGAGAGCATTCCAGGGCTGGGGGACAGCCAGTTCTGTCTTCTGAGAGTAAGCAGAATTCCAATGGTAATAATAGCTGACCCATATAGCCCTTTAAAGTTTATAATGCACTCACTCACTTGACTGCCACAATGGCTTTGTGAGGTAGGCAGACAGACGGAGAGTCGGATGACTGCTCAGTGACTTGCCCGGGGGTTCCCCCCCGTTAGTACCAAGAGCCAGGATTCCAAGCCAGATCTCCTCTAACTCCCAAGTGCAGAACTCTTGTTCACTTTACATTAAAAATCTTGTAAATGTTTGAAGAAAGTGGCCAGGTTTGGCTTAACTCCTCCCTACTCCAGGTACCAATATCCAGGTGCCTCCTGGAAATCTTCGTATGAACAGCCTGGAGTCCTGCCATCATCCTGGGTACCCTCCATCATCCTGGGTACCCTCCTCTGGAATCTCAGGCCCAGGGACATGTCATGTTGGTACCTGTCCTAAGAGGGTGTATCCAAACACCCAGGAGGTGGTCTGACCAGAGCCAAGCTAAGTGGCACCATCATCTCTGCTAACCTCTAGGTCTGTGCAGTCATCCTAGCCCCTGGAAAGTCCACTAACAGCCCAGCTGCTGCTTTTCTCCCAAGCTTCAGCCTAGTCCCGTCTTCCCTCAATCTGGTACTTGAATAGTAGTAGTTGGTTTGTTTTTTTTAAACTAAAGCAAAAGGCCTTCATTTGTATTCAATATTATCTTATTATATTTGGCCAATCATTCTAGCATTCTGAGATCTTTTTGGATTCTATCTCACTTTTGTCATTTTCACATTTTGGATAAACTTGTGCTGTCTACACCTTCCTCCATACCACTAACAAAAAAAAAACCCAAAAAACTGTAGGGGCAGCTAGGTGGTGCAGTGGATAGAGCACTGGCCCTGGAGTCAGGAGGACCTGAGTTCAAATTCGGCCTCAGACACATAACACTTACTAGCTGTGTGATCCTGGGCAAGTCACTTAACCCCACTGCCTAACCACAAAACAAACAAACAAACAAAAAAAAACTGTCAAAAGAATAGGGCCAAGGTCTCAGCCCCAAGTCTTGAACTCTTTCCACGTTCACAGGATGTCAGAGCTGGAAGGGTGAAAATGACCCAATCCAACCATAATGGTCCCAACATCCCCATGAACATTCTGGCAAAATCAAAGAAAATGACCACCCACAGCATGCCCAGATCCACTTCCTGTTTGAGGCAGCATTTGAACTCAGGTTTTCCTGACTACAAGCACCAGGTTCTATCTACTGTGGGTTATGAAGTGCTATACCAGGAAGCTTTTTAACAGTGAGGCTAATGCCATGCAGCTACTCATCCTTTTGTTGGCCTCTGCTTCTCCGGTGTGGTGGAGCAGGGCTGTTTGCAACTGCCTGTCCTCATTCTCTACTTTTCCTTTACCTTCTGGCTCTAACCTTTTGAATCTGGCCTGCTGTGATTTTCAGTTTGGGTTATCCAGTATCAAATCACAGAACTCCCGATCAAGTACTTGTCTGGTCCCCTGCTCTAACTGGTCAGGTGGGCAGGTGCCAAGGCTGGCTAGCCTGCTCAGCTTGCCCCTCAATCTACCTCTCTCTAATTAGATGGCTCTCCCTCTCCTCCTCCTTATTTTCTAGCTTCTAACCTGCATTTTCAACTGCTTGATGTCTATTCTTACTCCTCTAGCCAAACACCTCCAATCCAGTATGCTTAACATGGAATCTATTTCCCCCCTACGGCTAGCCCCCCAGCCTGAAATCCAAAGTTCTGTCCACTACCACCTTTCCTTGGACATTATCTCTGTCCTCATATGTGAGAAGTTACCAAATGCTGCTGATTCAAATACCTTTGAATTGTGCTATTTATCAATTCTTCCTCATGTGGCTAGGGGGCACAATGCATAAAGTGCCAGACCTGAAGTCAGGAAGCTTCAATTTAATCCAGCCTAGACTTGTACTAGCTGTGTGACCCTAGGCAGGTCACTTCACCACTATCTGCCTCAGTTTCCTCATCTGTAAAATGGAGACGATGACAACAGAACCTACCTATTTGTGAAGATCACACGTGCTACTATTATGAAGTGCTTAGCAAACCTTAAAGTGCTATAAATGCTGCTTGTTACCACCGTTACCACTACCACCACCACCACCATCATCATCTTCCTCCTCCTCCTCCTCCTCCTTCCTAGTCAAGCTTTATCACTCCATACTTATGCTCCTATAAGGGTCTCCTATCTGGTCTTCCTGTCTCTGGCTTCCACACTCTCTATCCATCTTAGACACTGAAGCCAATGAATCTTAGTAACAGAAGAGCATTTAGAGGTCATCTGGTCCAACCTCCTGCTTTATTTCACAGTTGAGGCTACTGAGGCCCAAAGAGCCTGAGTGACTTGCCTAAGGTCACAGAGGTATTAGTGGCAGATACAGGATTCGAATCCAGATCTTAGCCCCAGTTCTAGATTCAGAAGGGCCTTGAGAGCTGCTTTACTTTCAGAGTCCTCTCTTTCCGCTCTGAGTTCAGAGAACCAACCAGTGCTAGGTGCTTGGTACTTAATGGTCCAAGAACCAAGACTAATATAGGCCTTGTTTTCCTCGCATTATCTCACTTAAATCTCACAACCTCAAAAGACATTGTTATTCCCATTTTACAGAGGAGGAAAATGAAGCCAAGTCCCTGGCCCAGGGGCCCAAAGTTCTTCAGTGTCAGTGACAAGGCTGATCCCAGGATCTGGGAGCTGGCTGAGACCCCCAGTGCTCCAGCCCAGACCACAGAACTAGTCAACAAGCCAGCAGAGTCCTTAGGGACTCCCAACATGTCTTTCACACAACAAGACAAAAGCACAGCTCAGGGTGAACTAACATTCTGTTCCACTTAACCTTTCAGTAAAACCACAGGAAGAAAAATTGTCTAAGACCCTCATTACTGCCAGACCACTCTACTCAAGCAGTCACGGGTGCCCTTCACTCATCACAGGGGCCTCTTCTCTCTGCTCAACACTCTGTTATCACCATATATCAAGAAAATGGGCAGAGGGTCTTGCCCGGGGCAGGCTCCAAATTAGAATCCGTTCAGAGCGAGAGAGAAAGCCTGGGTCTTAATTAAACAAGGGAGAGTTTTCCTTCTAAATTAAGTCACCACTCTTTACTCATTTTCAAAGTCTTACACACTGACTTTCCTAAAAGGGGTCAGCTTTTCAAGAAAGGGGGGAAGGTCTAGAAAAAGCTTTAAGCTGGAGAAACGTTTATTTTTTAAAATATTTTCAGCTGCGCCAAAAAGATGATTTTTTTTTTTTTAGTTTATGTAAAAATTTATTTAACCAAAAGCTAGAGAAAGGTGATACTATTACATATGATACATTTGGTAAAGATCTAAATGAAAAGCACTGGTTTCATTCAGCTTCAGATTTCTAGTGTGTTTCTGGGTAGTGTGTAAAAAGATGATTTTTGTTTTTGTTTTGTTTTTAGGTAATTGGGGTTAAGTGACTTGTCCAGGGTAACACAGCTAGTAAGTGTCAAGTGTTTGGTCTGAGGCCGGATTTGAACTCGGGTCCTCCTGACTTCAGGGCATGGTGCCACCTAGCTGCCCCTAAAAAGATGATTTTTAAATATCCTACCTACTGTAAAACATCCAACTGTGAGTGGCTGCCCAGTTTGCAGAAGGCATTCTAAAACCTAGATCCCCGATCTAGCCCTCTCCTCTAACACACCCCAAGGGCTTGATAACCCTGTGCCAGGAAGACACTGCTAAGTGCTGGTGATAGAAAGAGAGGCAAAAAGCAGGTCCTTGCCATCAAGGAGCTCCCAATCTAATGAATCACATAGCTAATCTGCAGTTGAGGCAGAATCTGAACTCAGATTTCCTAAGTCCCAGGTTCTATCCCCTACTCCACACTGCCTCTGCTCTTTTGGCAGATTCAATGCCAACAGTCTTCTCAACTTTCTACACAAAGAAAGGAAGCCATGAGGTCATGAAAGACACCACCAGACTTTGGTAGGACTAGCCAGTTGGCTGGTTTTGTCAGGGACAATTTTTTTGTTGAAATAAAAGCTCTCCTCAGTGAAAAAGAATAAAAAATAACACACTTATAGGAAAAGAGTCAGAAAGATAGCCATCTCTGTTCTCTATTTTCTCTAGCCTTTCAAGTGTTTGTTTTAGTGAAATCTATTTTAGTTGTTAATTAACACTGACAGTACACAAAGTTCTTTCTGTGACCACAAAAATCACCAGAAATGCTGAGAAGTCACTAGGAGTGAATTTATCTCCTCTTCCCCTATGGCTTCAGTAAAGTATTTCACCCATCTCAAGATCCCTATCTCTAATCTTAGGCCAGTACGGTTGGTTAATAGCTGCTGGTATTACACAGGACATTTCATATTGGGGTTTGACACAGTGCACTTCTCTCAAAGGAACTAAGTTTTTTGCTACATTCTGTCAGTACTAAGCCTGGTCCAACGAAGCTGAGCAAACTGAACCCTCTTGGCCCCGAAGTGAGAGGATCCCGCTTCTTGAAAAGGGTCAATAAGCAAGCATTTTCTGATGACCAGGATTCCTAAGAGTGGCTTCAAAACTGCTGATACTTGAGAAGGCTAAGGGACCCAGGCCCCACCCCCTCACCTTCTTGGACCTCCAACAGCGGCAGTACACAGCTTTCTCTCCCAAGTCTTCCATGTCAAATGCGTGAACAATCTTGGGGTTGTCTTTCTGGATGGTGGGGTTGACCATGGAACCGTAGCCTTTTTCTTTCACCAAAAACTTTTTGTAAGCTAGGTAGCCCACCACAGCGGTGCCAGCAGCTAGGGCCATAGCTGCAATGCAGTCTGCTAAATTGAGGAGAAAAAGAAAACCATGATCAGCAGAGCTTGGGCTAAATGAATTGTGGAACATGAATATAGTTAGAATAGTTTTACTCCTTGACAATGGATTTGAGGATTTCAGAGAATCTTGGGAAGATGTAAGTAAACTGATAGAGAGTAAAGTAAGCAGAAACAAGAAAACAATCTACATCATACTTGCAAAAAAATGTAAATGAAAAGAATTAGAGGTTAACAACAGCTAAACACAGTGTAATTATAATGACCCTAGAGAAGAGAAAAAGCACACCTCCTTCTCTTTGGGAAGGTGGAGGACTACGGGCACACAGAATTATAAATACTATCAGACACAAATAATTTGTTGGTTTTGCTACCCTGTTTTTTCTTTTTTTTTCTGCAATCTTTGCGGAAAAAAAAATGGGTCTGGATCAGGGATGGGGTGGGATATATCTGAAAATGAAGGTGACAGAAACACTTTTAACAACTGTCTTCCCTCTGACCCAGCAATAGCACTTCTAGGACTGTATCCCAAAGAGATCATAGAAATGGGAAAACGACCCACATATACAAAAATATTTACAGCAGCTCTTTTTTGTGGTGGCAAAGAATCAGAAATTGAGAGGATGCCCATCAATTGGGGAAAGGCTGAACAAGTTGTGGTATACAAATGTAATGGAATACTACTGTGCTAAAAGAAATGATGAGCAGGCAGACTTCAGAAAAACCTGGAAAGACTTGTATGGTCTAATACTGAGTGAAGTGAGCAGAACCAGGAGAACACTGTACACAGTAACAGCCACACTGTGTGATGACTAACATTGGTAGACTTAGCCCTTCCCAGCAATGCAAGGATTTAAGACATCTCCAAAGGTCTCATGGTGGGAAATGCTATCCACATCCAAAGAAAGACTTCTGGAGTTTGAATGCAGATCAAAGCATACTATTTGCTATTTTTTTCCTTCTGTTTTGTTTTTGTCTCTTTCTGGTGGTTGCTCCTACTGGTTCTAATTCTTCCTTACAACATGACTAATGTGAAAGTATGTTTAACAGGAATGTATATGTATAGCCTTGAGAAAAATTTTAAACTCAAAAGCTTATGGAAGTGATTGTTGATAATTCAAAATAAATTAATTTTTAAAAAAGTAAATGCTGAAAACTATTTTTGCATGTAATTGGAAAAAAATAAAATACTATTAAGTGGAGAAAAAATAAAATACAAACCAATTTTAAAAAAATAAAGCAGGATATTATTTCCTTGCTTGCTTCTGCACAGCTCTTGGGCTCTCTGCCCTTGCCCACACCACAGGACCAACTCTCACCCTATCATCCATTTTCTTAACCTATCACACAATTCCTTGATGGTATCTTTTACCCTCATTCTTCAGTGAAATTCCTTGTTGGTTCTATGTTGCTGTTTAAGCCAACGAAATATTTTTTAAGCAGGGGAATACAAACATGAGCAAAAAGACAGTCTCTGCCCTCAAGGAGCTTACATTCTAATGGGGGAAGATAACACACCAAAAGGACCTGAAAAGAGGAGGTGCCCCAGTAGGGGTAGGTGAAGTAGAGAAAAGGAAGAATGGTGGTGGAGCTTCTGGAAGGAATTCACCAATGGGAGAAGGGACACAGGGGAGTTGAGGGAGAAGACAGAGGTCGAAGGCAGCAGAAATATGATAACAACGCCCCAGATTGTTCTGTAAAATATACACTATTTTAACACAGCAGCACCCACCATGCAGGACACTAGAGAGATTTGGCCTCATAGTTAGAAAGAGCTGAGTTCAAGTCCTGCCCCTGATACATAGGATGGTATGCTCTTAGTGTCAGGGCTAGTCACAACCTCTCAGTGCTAAGACAGCTCTCCAAGACTCAGAGGTTTCAGAGAAGGTGCCAACCTGCCCTGGTGGAGGGTGTTTCCTACTGGGAAATCACAGGGCCAGGACCTCTAGGACCTACACTGCCCAGCTCACCTGCCTCTTCCTGAACTTCCTCCTGCTCTGTCCTGGGCATTTTTAAAGTGTTTCCTTGACATTGTTCATGTAGCCTTTCAAGAGCCCTCTCCCCAAATTGGACACCAGTCCCTGCTCCAGGGAAGGTTTGAGAGATGCCAGCTCTGCACTACCTGGTAGCCTCAGAGCTGAGGTGACAATATTAGACAAAAATAACTGGCCTTCAGCCAGTACTTACAAATTTGCAAATGCTTTATACACAGGCTCTCCTCTGAACCTCACAACTCTGTGAGGAAGGGATCCACTAATATTATTATCCCCATTTTACAGATGAGGAAAAGTGAGGCCCAGAGAGGTTACAGGCCCTGTCTAGGGTCATAAAGCTAGCAAATGCCAGAGGCAGCAGCTGTACCCAGGTAAGCCTGCTCCAACTCTACCAAGCCATCCACCACATTATGTGGCTGCACTCGTTACATCATACAACGGGCAGTAGGGAGAACCTGGGAAGAGAAGGTCAAGAGGACAAAGAGGGGTTCTTCTCACCATTCTCCCAGTGTGTCAAAAGTACCTAAGATAGACACCAAAGCCCAACCGAAACCTAAGTCTCCCACCTCTCCAAGCGATCCAGAATTAACCAGGCCACTGCTCCCACCTTTCCAGACATTTACAAGTCTTTTTGATGCTTTCTCTCTTGGTGATGTCTACAAGCTTGTTTCAACTTTTGAGATGGGTTTTTTCCAACCCTGTGCTCCTTATGTTTCCCTCCACTTTGGCTTTTTTTTTTTTTTGTGGTTCTGGTGAAGGAACAATGGCTTTGGTGTCAGAGGCACTGGCCCTATTCTCACATGCTCAAAGCTTGATCTGGGGCCAAGGACTTAATCTCTATAAGCCTCAATTATCCTCACCTAGAAAACTAGGGGGCTGAATCTCTAAGGTCAGTCCCTGCCAGCACCCAAAGCCTTTGAATGACTCTACTCATCCTCTACTTTCTCTCTCAGTAAGCAGGCTCAGTGCTTGTTTCACACAATGATGCTAAATCCTATCAACTCGACCTCTGCAACATCTACCCTATGCCTCCCTTCTTCCTGATGCTCCCACCACCCCTGGACTACTGCAAGAGCCTGACGGTTGTTCTCCCTGCCACAAATCACTTCTTGTCTATTCTCTACAAAGCTGCCAAACTGATCTTCCCAAAGGGCCTAAGTGACCATGTCACCTCCCACGCCCACTCAGTTAATTCCAGTGACTCTTTCTGCTTCCAGGATGAAATATGAAGTCCCCTGTTCAGCATTCAAAAGCCTCTGATAACCTAGCCCCCTCCTCATTTTCCAGTCGTCTTAAACTTTACTCACCCCCGGTAGTATTTAATCCAGTGACACTGGCCTCCTTGCTGTTCCTTGAACAAGAAATTCCACCTCCAAATCCCAGCATTTTCACTGGCTGTCCCCCATACCTAGAATACTCTCACCTCATCTCTGCCTCCTGGCTTCCTTCAAGTCCCAGTTATATTCCCACCTTCTATGAGAAGCCTTTCCTGATGTCTCTTAAGGCCAAGGCCTTTCCTCAGTCGATTACCTCCAATCTATCCTGTCCATATTTTGTATGCACACAATCGTTTGCATGTTGTCTCTCTGATTAGACTGAGCTTCTTGAGAGGAGGAAGTGTGTGAGTGTGAGTGTGTGTGTGTGTGTGGTGTCTTTTCTGGCATACTCAGAGCTTAGCAGTGTCTAGTACATAGTAGTAATAAGTACTTGGGGAATGACTTATTCTTATGCATGGTTGCTATTTACATATAACAACAAAAAGAATAAATTCGGCCTCCTATTAGTGACAGGCAAAGAAAATGACAAGTTAACATGAGATGCACATCTGGGTTTCCTTTTGACTCTCAAGCACTGTCCAAAAAGCCCAAGGCTAAGTTTTCAGCAAGGATTTCTCTGGAGAAAGATTCTCACGCCATTCATACCATGAAATCACCATTCGGGGATGGCTCTCAAGGAGGATTTTCAACCTTGCTAAAGATTTTCAAGCTCTATTCACAAGACTCTTCTCTTTCTTGATCTCTTAGCATCAAACGTTCCCTAAAAAGGGGAACTATGGAAGTATACCTCTCTCCATCCAAGCCACGTTTATGAAATGCCTGATGTGTGAAGGGCCCTGGGGATACAAAGACAAAATCATTTTTTAAAATGGTCAGTCCCTTGCCTCACTGTCTACCTCACTGTCACTTTGAAGAGTTAAGGCAGTAATGAGGAACTAAGCTAAAACTGACTTGGTTCTGGGCAAGATCATATTCAACAGAAGGGAAGCTGCAAGAGAAACTCAATTAAGTGAGAACAGGACATCGGACAGGCAGAAAGAGAGTGCTGGACCTGTGCAGGGAGCGCTCTCTCTCCTGAAAGGCATTTTCTTTACCCCGCTGCTCAGAAGAAAGTACTTCCCCAAGCAGCACCCTGCTTTCCGGAGGCCTGGCTTGTGAATGGGATTTTATCTTGTCTACTTTACAGCCGCCTATACTCTGGTCCACCCCTTCTTCTCCCCTCACCTCCTCCAGCTGACTTTATGGGCTGCCTTTCCCCATTAGAAGCTAAGCTCCTTGAAGACAGGGACTGTTTTTTTTTTTGTTTTTGTAAGAGTCCCTGATATATTTTTAAAATAGAATTTTATTTTTTCCAATTACATATAAAGACCATTTTTAACATTAATTTTTCATAAGATTTTGCCAAGGAGCAGCTAGGTCGCGCAGTGGATAGAGCACCAGCATTGGAATCAGGAGGACCTGAGTTCAAATCTAGCCTCAGACACATAACACTTACTAGCTGGGTGACCCTAGGCAAGTCACTTAACCCCAACTGCCCCCCCCAACAAACAAACAAACACTAAAACAAAGCCCATTTAGGGGCAGCTAGGTGCGCAGTGGATAGAGCACTGACTCTGGGTCTGGAGGACCTGAGTTCATATCTGGCCTCAGACACATAACATTCACTAGCTGTGTGACCCAAATGCCTCATATAAAAAAAAAAAAGTAAGATTATGAGTTCCAAATTTTTCTTCTCCCCCCCCCAGAAGGCAAGAAATCTGATATAGGTCATACATGTGCAATCATATTAAAACATATTTCAGTAACTGTCTTACTTGTTTGTATTTGTAGCTCCAGCCCTTAATAACTATTGTATCCACCCATCATCCATCTATCTTCCATCCATCCCCTCACAGTTCTATTGACCACTGATTATCTATTTACCTTTCATTTATTCATGCACTAGGGCTACAAATACAAAACCAAAGACACTCGTTCTCATGGAGCTCACATTCTAATGCTGGTGACAACACACAAACGGGGAGAGGAGACCACTCTGAAGTTACATACAGGGGTGCTGAGCAGAGTCCTGGAAGGAGAGTTACTACTTCTGGTTTGATTTTGGTTTATGGCTCCAGAACTGGGGGGGAGAGAGGAGGGAAGAAGGACCAGGTACTCTTTGAATGCCTCCTGTGGTTCAAAGCCCTGAGTTAAAAAGAAGAAAGGCAAGACATTTTAGAAAGTCTAATTACCAACAATTATCCATTATTGTTAACTTCCTCCCCTTGGATCCTATTCAACAGAGCAATAAGAAGAAGTCTGTCCTACCCATTAAAAAAAAAACAAACCACTTCTCTCCTCTGTACCCTTGTTTCCTATGGAATTAACTGGAGAAGGGTTTCAGTTCAGGGTTTTTCAACTTCCTTTGCCATCCCCTGCTCTGTTCTTGTTGAAGGGGCAGACAGAGGGAAATGTCCTCCAGAAGGAAAAAAAGCTAAGATACTGAGAGTTGGCCAAAAGAGTGGTGGTCTCCCCAAGATTGGCGGTGGCCTGTGGGGGGCTGCCCTAGGCTCCTGGGCAAAGCAGGAGGTCCCCCAATTCTGCCACTCCTATACTTGAGAGGTGACCAAGAAACAAGGGAAAGGTCCCTGTTCTATTACTGCAAGCAAGAAGCCAAGGCTGAAAGAGCCAGATACGGCAGCAAAGAACAACACATGAAAACAGAGGGAAGCTTTAAGTCAACCCAGCAGACCACGTGCCTAATTCTAAAAGGTGAAATGAGACAAGGCTTGGTTACTACAGTACAGCCACAGAGTACCTAGAGCCACTAGGGGGCGTCACAGTGCTCAAGGCAAGAGCCAAGAAGACACCCCAGAAGTCAAATCTGGCCTCAGACTTGTACTTAGCTGTATGACCTAGGCAAGTCACTGAACCATCATCTGCCTCAGTTTCCTCCTCTGTAAAATAGCACCTATCACACAAGGTTGCTGTGAAGATCAAATGAGATACTAATTTGTAAAACACAGTACAGAGCCTAGCACACAGGTGCTCACGTCCCCCCATTTCCCCCCCAGCCCAAGAAGACTTGGATTCAAATCCCGCCTCAGATACCATGTGATCCTGTGCCCACGAGGCTTGGATTTGATAGCTGTCACCATTTTTTGTTTTCCCGACCTTTGACACCACTCTCCACTCTCCGTTTTACAAAGGAGGGAATCACCCAGTGCCTCCCTGCCAGAGAAAGGCCTGGATCCTAAGTTACAGCTTTGGGGCTGGAAGGCCGCCTAGAATAACCAGATGTGAAGGCACGTGCCCAGGGACCCACGGGTGGTGCAGCTGGGACATCAACCCAAGCCTCCAGATCTTCGTGACAGCCCCATGTCCAGGAGAAAGGCGAGCACTTTTCACTCACCCACAAGACCCGGGCCTCAAGACGGCAGCCTGAGGGAGAAGGCATCTGGAGGGCCATCTAAGGGGGTACCTTCATTCTGTGGATAAGGAGCATCCCTGAGTCATGGCGCATACCAAATCTCCCCCACAGTTTGACAGGATTCGCAACATAGAAGGAGAAAGGGCAAAAAACGTCCATCAGATGAAATCATGTCCCCAGGCACCTGTGCCAGCGCCGCACCTCCGCACGGCCCACAGGCTTCCCGGCGCGCAGACCCAGGGGTGGCACCCTGCCCACGTTCCCGTCCTTCCAGGGGAGGGCTGCGGGTGACCCTGAGCCCTGAGCCCCAGGGCCCGGCCGGCCGGCCTTTCCATCTGGGCCCCGAAGGCCGGGTGGGCAGCGCGGACTCCACCCGGCCCAAGGCCCTGCGGGCTCGCCAAGGTGCCCAGACAGGAAGCGTGGGGGGCAGGGGAGCTCCCGCTATCTGGGCCCAGGCCAGCTGGGCGAGCCCGGGGATCCGCTCAGGCGAACGGGCCGAGCTCTCGGGAAGGCCCCGCGAGCCGGCGGGTCCGTGGGTCACCCTCGGGGCGCGGCCCCCTCCCCGCACCGGCCCGAAGGAGCTGCCCCCGCGAGGCGGCGGGCCGGCAGGAGCCCCCGGGACCCGACGGGCCGGCAGGAGCCCCC